ATAGTTACATTACAATTTTTATTTTGATACGTATCTTACAAAGTGGTTTAAATATTATTTTAGACACGCCTTAATTGTGTTAATATCAACTATTAAGCCCTTGTTTGAGCCCCATTTTTTTGACAAAATGCATTCTTAAACAGTATTTTGACATCATTTCAACCACACATTCTTCAATAAATTAATATTGCACGAAAATCTAAAATTTTTCCTTATTTTTCAACCACATATTTCACATCATTACACTATTCAAAAACGCATTTTCTTGGCAAAAATGGGGCTCAAACAAGGGCTAAGTTTCAACGATGTCGTTAGATGCATTATTCTAGTTTTAATATCGCTTGTTGGAATTGAATTTCAATTATCTCATCTAAAAATCAATTGTTATTTAACGTACCTTTTTATAATGATTCTACCTTTTTATCTCATTTAAGTGATCAGTGACCGACTTAAGAGTGATCTTGTTGCTTCCCGAATATTAAATTGTATGTGAAAAAATTGCTCCAAAAGTTGCATCTAAAAAATTGTCAATTTGTACCGCCACAATGAATAGACGTCAGCATTATAACTCCCAATAACCGCTGCCGGAAAGAGTATAACCGTCGCGCACCTTGGGGAAGGCACTCGCTACTCATAAGAAAACGAACCGGAACCTCTGGAAAATTACTGCAAAAATGTCTAAAAGATCCGACATTCTGCAGAAGAAACTGCAGGAACTAGAATCCGAATTTCTCCAGGTGATTCACCTTCCACCGGAAACACCAAGTCGCCATTTAATCTCCGAAGGGATTGAGCAGCGTTTCGTGTTCTTGAAGAATCTTTTATCTGCAGAGATTTCATCTCAGCCGTCGAAGCCCCACCACTTGAACCACATTGCAGAGAGACTCGTTGGACTCGAGGCCGCCTTTAGGGACTGGGATGAATCGAGAAACTACTTCGAATTGAACGATTACAATTTTGATACTTCGTCAGTATGTTCTGAATGCACTCGGGCGTGTAATTTGATTGGTGAAGCAGAGGTTGTGTGTGAATCGGATTCCTCAACTGATGGCTTCCCGGCCGAGTTGTTTGAGACAGTTATTGAAGAAAAGGCGCCGGAGAAGATGGAGAAAGAGGGGAGATTTTTAGTGATTGGAAAGTATTGTGGAATGCTCACTTTTGGGATGATTCTTGGGGCTGTTTGCATGAGTTCTTTCATGGTACAGTATGATTTTGTTGAGCAAAATTTAGGGTTTCTTCCTCCAACGTAGTATGATTAAATAGACAGTTTATACTAGGTTTTTGTTGGTAGTTTGAATCAATTGTATGAGAATATTGCATAATTGACATGAATTTGAATATCATTTGCATGACTTTTTTATGAATTTCGATAATAAGAGACGTACCATTTTATTGTATGAATTTGGATTATAGAAAAATCTTGGTTGTCGATAAAAAAATTCATTTGTGATATCACACTTTAGGAGTGCTTAAATTAAAATTTATGAAGAAGGTAGTAAGTGACTCGAAGTAAATAGACTTTGTGGATGTTTAGTTGTTTACCTATACAACTTTGCGTTACAAGGTAAAATTTGATCATAAACTTTTGAATATATCTTGAATTAACAATTATGCTTTTGGTTCTACTAGATTAATTAATTTATTTTTTTACTAATCGGTAAATTTGTACACTATTATGAACAAATAGCATTTTTTTTCGGAAGGTACTAAATTAAATTTATTTTTAACGATATGCAAAAAGAATGTGCATGTCATGGGAGGTTTTATTTCATTCACATTTTCCTTTAGGAACCTTAATTAAGAATAGAGCAACCCTAGTGCCTATTTTCTTCTAGAAGCTGTATTTTTTTATTTGATTCTGTTTATCTTGTTTTTTGCATGTCAAGATTGACTCCAAAGAAAGTATAGTCAATTAATATTAGAAAATAGCATAAAGCAAAAAAAAGGAAAGTAGGGCGAAACACACTAATGTATAACTAAATAATTAATTAAGTCTTTGATTCTTATATTGGTTAATGAATTTACACTGATTTAATAATTAATAATCTTTGGTTCTTATATGGTTAATGAATCGAAACCGGGGATTTCTCGCCGTGGGTTCATAAGAAACAGTGGGAAACTTCCCTTGTTTCGTAGTCAACTTGGGGGACAGATACAATTTTTTTCAGAATCCATATACGGTAAAAAAAAAAACTTGAAAGGTCCACTGATTTTACACCATGTGCGAAAAACGTCAATAAATTTTAAATTTTAACTTCATAGTCCTTTGATTTTTAAGCCTTGAACCCTATTGATCCCACAAAGAAATTCCTTTCAAAATCTCTAACAAGTGTCCTACATGGATGAGGTGATATCCTCATCTTATATCCATCTTTGAAGTATTTTTATACTCTAAGTACAATAAAAAAGTATTTTCCTTCAAAAAAGGGGCAATTTTATCCTTATTGGCATAATAGATTTCAAAGTAACGGATAAGCCATATCATTTTTAGAAATTTTGGTTTAAATTCATTTTTAGGCTTAACAGGGTTAACAACTTAGCCCTCATTTGGTCCCCATTTTCTGGAAATGAAAATGGATGGAATAGTATTTGCATAATAGATTTCAAAGGAATAGGGAAGCCATATCATTTTTAGAAATTTTGGTTGAAATTCATTTTTAGGCTTAACAGGGTTAACAACTTAGCCCCCATTTGGTTGCATAATAGATTTCAAAGTAACGGGGAAGCCATATCATTTTTAGAAATTTTGGTTGAAATTCATTTTTAGGCTTAATAGGGTTAACAACTTAGCCCCCGTTTGGTCCCGATTTTCAGGAAATGAAAATGGATGGAATAGTATTTTTTTTTTAAAAAAAATGAGTGGTTGAATAAAAAGGAAAAAATTTAAATTTACGTATAATATTATTTTATTGAAGATTGTGTTGTTAAAAATAAGAGAGAGAAAAATAGAATTTAATGGGGGCTTAGAATTATGGAACTAAAGAAGTTCAAAAGTTCAATTTGAACATTTTCTTACTATTGCTAAGTCTTATTTCAATGCCTTTTGGCTTGCTACATATGTTATTTTAATTTTTCTAAGATCACCAATAGTTATTCCATTATTCTTTTTATTTTATTTAACCTTAAAAACTTTTAAAATATGAAAAATATATATATAAAAATAGGCACATGCCTTTCAGTTCCTAGGCTCGATGTTCAGAATCTAGGCCTGAATTTTTGAACCTAAGCTCGCATTAAGCAGTAAAAAATAAAGTTTATTGCTTTTTTTTTTTTAACAAACCTTCTCAAAATGCCAGGTTTTTCCTTCATGCCTCGCGCCTAGGCCTCGTTCTTTTCCCCATTTTAGAGCACTGCCTATAATTCTTTTGTTATTTCTACAAACTATTTCATTTTTTGGTTTTTCTCATTTTTATTTATTTCAAATTAAGGATATAATCATCTTTTTCAAAAAAAAATAATAACAATAATAAAAAAATTACGTTTTAACCTTGTACCCTTCATCGTAAGAGTAGGAGGCGAAAGACCCATCTTTGACTAAAAGCCTATAGGTTGGGAGATACCAAAGAAGACCTTCGTATTGTTGGTCCTTCTATTATTCAACTCATCTATCCACTTTGAATAAAGCCATGTGTCAGAAAATGATTGGATATTTTATTTTAATTTTTCAAACTGTCCTATTATATGTCGATGCATGTCTCATTTGGATTTGAGTTTGGATGTATAGAATGATTGATCCACTTTTCTTGGGCAAAGCAGAAGATAAAATAAATGGCTTCTATCTACTAAGGATTTCACGTCACATGATTATATAGATTTTTAACATCGAGAACCTATATCCAAACTCTGCAAAGATTGAGGACCATGGCTCTATTTTCCCATTCATTTATTTGGTGCAAGCAATATTGAATGGGCCCGGCCCATGTGGGCCAGGCTACTATTGTCCAACCAATCAATCTGGGCCTCTAACAGAAACTCCCACCAACTACAGAAATCCAGCTGGCCATGAAAATGACAAGAAAAATGGTCCCACACAAACGTGGCCACGTCAGCTCTTACACTGCTCACGCAAAAATGACGCGCATTCGTTGCTCAAAGTCGCCATCCACGTCTCTCTGACTCAAAAGAACATTTTTGTAATTGTTAAATAAATAATTAATAAATTAACACGACCATATGAGTAATAAACAATTAGCGTTTATGTCACTGCGCACAAGTTATACACGTCACCAAATTTAAATAAGTAGACTTTGTAGAATTTTATTTTATTGTAATATAACTTACTATCTATTTTATCAAAAAAAAAAATTATTATATAATTGTTTGACAAAATTTTCGGTAAAAATTTAACAGATGTTGACAAAATTAATAAATTATACAATTAAAAAATTGATAAAAATTATTAATCTTGTAAAATGCATGATTAAAATAAAAATTTAACGAATCGAAAAATTAAAATTTTATTAAACAAACGCATACTATATATGCATATTAGTATCCAACTTTTTTCTTGTTGAATGTAAACGCAACAGGATTGACACCTTTTTGCATAATTTAAAAAACACGAGGATGGTTTTCTATGAACTTTGACTAAGAACGAGCATCTCTCAAGAAAAAAAATATTATACAAATATGACTTTTTACATTATTCAATCCTTCTAAGAAATTTCGGATTGTATTATTAATAAGAATAATAAACACGCAGTTAACTAATAGTTACGAAAAGTAAAGACACTAAGTGGAGTGAACCATTTACTGAGCAATGATCTTCTCGTTCAAGTCACTTGTCAGCTCATATTAGTTGTCTAGAAAAGTCGAGTGATATTGAATCATCGTAACGGGTAAAATATGTCATTTTAATGAAAATTTTGCCTTAACGAGTAAAATATACTAAAGGGCAAGACAAGCTACACTTTGATTGAACAAGTCAGACTAGTCTAGGTGATTCGAATAGCTCTATCGCCCAGTTAGCACCCCTATCAAAAAGTAGGTTAAAGCATAGTAAAATCCCTTTGTGGGGGTAGAAATTTTCCACAAGGAATCGGTATCCGATTTCAACTATGCACTCTGTAATCTTTTTCCCTCCTCTGACCTTCCAAACACGTCTCTATTTCTCTATATATACCTCTCCTCTTGTTTGGCCCTCTTCTTCCATTTTCCCTCTCCTGTAACCTTTACATACATTTTCTTTGCATTAATATATTGCTCATATTTTCCACGTTCTCTGCCAGCATTTTCTTGTTCAGGTTTCAAGAAAGGTGACTTTCATTTCACTTTTTTATTTTCTTGAAGGCTCTGAATCTGCATTTGCAAAATCTTTAATCAATATTGGTTTTTTATTGGCTTCTCTGAACTGAGCTAAAGAAAATCAGCAGCATTTGTATACTTGCATGTATGTTTGTAGGGACGTGTGTAATTATATTTTGTGCTCTATGGGTATATCGTATTATATGTGATTGCAATTGCTATTTATTTTAATTTAGTTTTGTTTGTATTTAAGGATTCTTAAGCATTAGCGTTCTATATTTGGTTTTCTTGTTTTCATTTATCTGAAACGGGTATGTTTTTGAGAACTATTTAGAGATTATCTTGATAGGAAAATCTTGGTTTCTAATTTGAAATTTATATCTGGTTCCTTAAGAAACTTGCAGAATCTCAATTTTTAATTTAATTATAACTCTGCTTCCTCTGTCTTCTAAAGAAATTCAGTTCTTCTTTTCATTTGGGAATGGCATTTTTTATGGAATTCTCAAAGTAATTGTGTGTGTGTGTGTGTGAGTGTGAGTGTGTGTTTTTTTTTTTTTTTTTGTAATATTTTTTTTTTTTTTTTTTTAATTATTACATTTTTCCCTTTTCTTTACATTTTT